TTATGGTATTTGTGTATATGTTGATGTTGAGGGTCCCGTAGTTGGAGGTTATCCTGATACTCTAATAATCATCTAGTCTCAAGTAGAGAGGGATGAATTATGTGGTGAGAGGAGCAGGAGGTCCTGGTCTATGTGCCGGTTTTGGACATAGTGAGGGGATTAACCTTGTGAATGGTATGAAGTATTTTGAAAGTGTATTTGTAAAAAGAAGTAGAAGTCATTACAAGTGCATAACCTCCCGTGACCGCTCGTCAACGTATCATCCGGATGAGTGTTTATTGGGTATTGTGGTGTCTATTGGGTATTGTGAGACGAGTGTCTAATAGGAATTGTGGTATGAGGGTGTCGAACATAATTATTATATGATGTTTATATCAAGGTAATTATACATGTTTTATAAATGATTTGTTGCATGTTAGCTCACCCTACTTGTTTGTGTTTGTTTTGTTTGGGTATGTGCGATGATCGTATAATTCGTTATACGGGAGCAGATGAAGGAATGTCATCTGATCCAGTGCCAATGAAGAGAGAGACAGAAGAATAAGTTAGAAGAATTCGAATTATATTTATGAGTTTATAGTTGAAATTTGAGTTTAAAACATGTGTAGACATATATTAACTATGAATTTATATGTGTGAGATTACGGGATATTACCGTAAATGTAATGTTACAATATATAAATTATGAATTATCCAGTGTGAGATATTGGGATGTTACATCAATAGTCTTCTGAGTCAAAGTTTAGAATGCCTTAAGTGTAGAAATTAAGGTATAAAATAATTTAAATATTTTCTTTTCTTCTTTATTAAGATATTTTTTAAAGAAATATTATGACAAAATATTCCAAAACAGAAAATATCTTAGATATATAATGAAAAACAATAAAGATATTACTCAGCAAACTTGAAATCAATTTTACTCTATTAATAAATAGACTATTATTGAAAGAAAATTGTTTAAATCTGTAATTTAAAAAAAGAAGAGAAACGAGAGCTTCTCCCTCAAAACCTGCCACCCCAACTTTTATTTTCAACTAACGGGAGTGATTTTATTCAAATTAATTAATTAATTAAGTTTTTTTCAAGAAAAATAATAAACGACTATCGACCAATATGCTTTTGTAAAACATACTTTATTTCTACAATTATGAATGCATTTAATAGAATAATAAAAAATTAAAAAATATATAACAACGACAGTTTTTAATTACGTTTCACAAAACTATTTTCGCTTGACTCTTACGTATAAATATCATATTTTTTTAATTAAACAATTTCATATTTTATATTATATTAAATCATTAAATTATTCAATGCGGTAAGTAAATAAAACTTTTAAGTTATTACTTTAACCGATGAAACAATCTCCGTACAAAATAAAACTCGTAAAAATTGTTATATAAAATGTGCACGAGTATATTCATACATTATAACTACATTTCTAAAAATAAATAAAAAATGTATTTTGTCATTTTCTTCTCTAACCTTTATAACATTATTATTTACACAGACCCTTTTCATAATTCTTTTTCATTTTCCACGGAAATATATTAGAAGCATATTTTATCAATTTAATACAGTATCTTTTTAAATCACAATAAAATTTTATAAAATTATAGACAAAAATAAATATATCCTTAAATTTGAATTATTGATGAATTTTATAGATATTTAAAATTTTAAAATTAAAGAATTTAATTAACGAAATTTATTATGGATGA